TTTTTTTTTTTTTTTTTAATGGAGAATTCCTTCACTTTATTTTCCGGCCCTTCTATTCAAATTGAATTTTTTATTTAAGTTTTTTTTTGGTTGCTTGTTTTTTTAGAAGAATGCATTCTTATTCTAGCATCCTGTTCTTGTTATGTTAGTACAATAAGTTCTTTTACCTCTGTGAAGGTAATGAAGTTTTCATCTGTCATATTTTTTCTTTTTTTCTAATTTGCTTTTTGTATTTCTTATCATGGTCTCTGTCTCTTAAATTAGAGGTTTATTTAAATATTTTAAAGTCAATAATGGTTTGGATGTTTGCCCCTTCCAAATCTCATGTTGAAATTTGATTTCTAGTGTTGAATGTGGGGCCTGGTGGGCGGTGTTTGGATGATGAGGGCAGATCCCTCATGAATGGCTTGGTGCCCTCCCCATGGTACAGTGAGTTCTCACTTTACTAGTTTGCTCCAGAGCTGGTTTTTTAAAAGAGCCTGGCACCACCTCCTCCCTCTCTTGTCCCCTCTCTTGCCATGTAACATACTTGCTCCCCCTTCGCCTTCCACTTTCATTGGAAGCTCCCTGAAACCTTCACCACAAGCAGATGTTGGTGTGATGCTTCTTGTACAGCCTTCAGAATTGTGAGCCAAATAAACCTCTTTTCTTTATAAATTACCCTGCTTCAGGCATTTCTCTGTGGCAGGGCAAAATGGACTAATAGAGTCAGTTTTCTTAAAAACTGCAAGAAAGTGGGACTTATAATTTATGACCTTTACTATGGTGGAAACTTGTCACGGCATTTTGTTGGGGAAATACATAATGTCAGTATCTTTGCTTTTTCCTTTGTTTTTTTTTGGTCAGATTTTATAGAAAAGCCTCTTATAGTTAGCTGCCTGAGGAGTATAAGCCTCACAGGAGGAGAAGGCTGGGTGGAAATGGTGATGGGTCTTATGAATTAGAATGTAAATTTTTGTTTAATCCTGTGGTACCCTCTAGTCTCTGTTTTTTGATCTCTGCCTATCTTCCAAGAAGCCCATTGGGCTGGCTGAATGAAATGTGGAAGGGAATCTGGGGGTCAGACTTCTTCTTAAATTGACTTTCAGGCAGTTTTTCTGTTTTTAGTCCCACTTTTGTCCCCAAATCCAGAGATAAAGGTTCTATGAAATAAATCACATTGATTTTGTTTTTCACATTGTGGCTAATGATTGAGGTTTTCCATGCCCAGAGTTATTCCTTGTTTTTCTGCTTTTCAGATTCTAAAATTTTACTACCACATCCTTTACTTCTCCTTGTCTTTGGGGGCTTATGTGCCTTCCGAAAAAATCCTTTTACTTTTGAATTTTAGTATTTATGGAGGGAGCAGATGTAAATGTACATGTTTAATCTGCCACATTTAACTAGAGTTTTTCTCAGTAACTTTTTTTTTTTTTAATTAGGAAGACTCATTCTTTGTTAGGAGTTCTAAGATTTCTTTTTGTTGTCCACCACTTAACCCTATTAAAGTTTTCATTAACTTTCATGTAGTCATATTGTTACCAATTATTATCTTTATGATTTCTAAGTTCTTTTTTTTTTAAAGAAAGTCTCCCTCACATTGAAGTTAAACAGATAAAACATAAATTACATAAATTATTAGAATTTCTTTTGAATCTCTTTTGTCCAGTTAAAAGTACATGTTCTGATTATTTATATTAGCAAGAGACTGGAATCATCTCAAATGTCTAATAACAAGAGGCTATTCGTCTCACAATGGAACACTGAGCAGCTAGCTGTAAAAGGGAATTAGGAATATTTTTGTGTACTGCTCTGGAGTTATCTTTAGGATATATTGTTAAGTGAAATAAAAAAACACAGAATGTTTATGGAATGCTACCTTTTGTATGATAGAAGAGAATATGAGCAAATCATTTGTTTATATTTTTAAAAAGGAATGATGAATAGTCAAACAAAACTGATGAAAGTGGTTAGTTTTAGGGGAGGGGAGAAAATTGAGGAGTGGCAGGTGTGGAAATAAGATATCTGGGTTATACCTTGATTGTACCTAGGTTTGACTTTGGTATCATGTAGCTGTTTTATATACTATATGTAATACAAAACTAAATCGAAATGAAGTCACAATTTTTTTTATTTATTTTTTATTTTTTTCATTTTTTTGAGACAGAGTCTCACTCTGTTGCCTGGGCTAGAGTGCCATGGCTTCAGCCTAGCTCACAGCAACCTCAAACTCCTGGGCTCAAGACATCCTCCTGCCTCAGCCTCCCGAGTAGCTAGGACTACAGGCATGTGCCACCATGCCCGGCTAATTTTTTTTCTCTATATGTATTTTAATTGTCCAGATAATTTCTTTCTATTTTTAGTAGAGACGGGGGTCTCCCTCTTGTTCAGGCTGGTCTCGAACTCCTGAGCTCAAAAGATCCACCCACCCGGGCCTCCCGGAGTGCTAGGATTACAGGAGTGAGCCACCTCGCTGGGCCTTTATTTATTTATTTTTTTTCTGAGACTCTCACCCTCTTGCCTGGGCTAGAGTGCTGTGGCATCAGCCTAGCTCACAGCAACCTCAAACTCCTGGGCTCAAGCGATCCTCCTGCCTTAGGCTCCCAGCTAGCTGGGAAATCACAATTTTTTAAAGGTACAAGCAAATGGATAAGTAACTTAACTATCAAGCAATCAAGTTAATGACATATCCCTGCAGAGAAGAGAATTACTTTAAGTGATCTAATTTTTAGTGGGACATATTCTAAGGTTAAAAAAATCCTTAAAATAATTTTAAACTACATTCAGTATATGTTTAGAAGTAATTTTGGTGTTGTTATTTTGAAACTCTTATGTATAATTGTAAGAGCAAATAAGTAATTCTATTAATGTCATACGGAAGTAAAATTTTTAGCATAAGAGAAAAAAGATAAAGGTATAAAACTAGTTCAATTAAAAAAACCTGAATCTTCAGTTCTTAATGGAAATAAAATTATGAACTTATTTTTTTCTCTTAAGCTACATTTTTCTTAGCATTACCACTGAAAAGGCCTAGAAGTAATGGCAGCTCCTTAACAATGAGCTTTCACCTGTATTGTAGTTTCTAAATATCTTTTACTTCAAGAAGAGGCAGGAATCCTTGAAGAAATGGCTGATTTGGGGCTTGACTCAGGAAATGTGGAGGATGATCATGGAATATCCTACCATTCTAGAAAGCAAGGAAGCTATCTAAGACCAATGGGATAGTGTCAGAAGTATCTCAGAGCTAACCATAAGGGGCCTCCTACTGGCTTAAGATGGGCAATTTGAGGATAAAAAAAATAATGACAATAATGGATTGAAATACATAAAGTGTATAAAAAATATATGGGTTTAAAAAGGTACTAAAATAAAAGAAAATCCAGCAAAAATAGACTTTACTAGTTACCTGTTGAGGTTGCTGGGGCGCATAACTCATTGCTTTGCAAATTGATAAGATTTAAACATTTTTCCAGTCTTTCCTGTATAAACTGTTATCTAAAAAGTTACTGAGGAAAAGTTCTTCATAGCAGAATTCTAGCTAATAAATGCAAAGAAATGATCTAATTGGAAAATCACCATTTGATAATCCATGATGAAATAGCAGATCTAGGAAATGATCACCAATAGATATTAAAATCATCAGGTGAAAGGATGATGGGGAGGGCTACCTACTGAAAAGGTCGGGCTGATACGATCCGACCAACTGATTTTTAGCAGCACTAAAATTGAGGCATCCAGATATGTGCCTCATGCAATAGGAGGTACATGGCAGCAAGCAACTATAAGGTTACTTTACCAAGGACAAAAAGGAAAATAAATAAGAGAAATTAAACTGAAATTTAATTAAGCCTCTAGATCTAATGATCACTTTATAGGAAATATGGGGAACTGGAGAAACAAATTAAGTGATACCATGGTGAAGCAATTATCTAAATAAAGAAAAAGAACTGTTTATCCAACAAATCAGTGACATGGAGAAAGGAAAAGAAGGGGCCTAAATAACCACAAGAAGCTAATTTACTCTATGGAACTTGTTTGAATTCTAATTTGGGCAAAGCTATCATAAAAAGACATCTTTAATGCTATCAGGAGAATTTTGCTATGGGCTAACAGATTGTATTTAGAAAATTTAATTAATTTTGTTTAAAATAGAAACTTTATTGGAGATGTGCACTGAGTAAAATAATGTGTCTTAGATTTATCACATATTCATGTTGAAGGCAGGGAAGAGAGGTCAGGGAATAAATAGATCAAAACAAGCCTGGCAAATGTTCATAATTGGTGATTCAGGACCCTATTCAATCTACTTCCTACTGTTATTTTTTTTATTTGCTTAAAAAAGGAAAAACTAGAAAAAATAATTAAAAATGAGCTGCTCTAGAGCCAGACAAGCTTGGGATGAGTCCTCGTTCTACCTCTTACCAGCTGTGTGATAGTGTGCAAGTTACTTCTGTAAGGTTTACCTGTATTTCGTTATTTGTAAAAATTGGATAATAATGTCTTCTTCATAGTATTATTTTAAGAATGAATTAATGCATTTAAAATATGTAGAACAGTGCCTGGCACATTATAAGCATTCATTAAATTCTTATCTATTATTACTATTAAAAGTGTGTAAGCCTTTGAGATTGGGGAACTAAGTCCTGTTAATTGGATAGGGAATATGTTGATGAGTGCTAAGAATGGAGAAATTAGGCTTATGTTTTTACTGTAGAAAATTGAGAATACTTAAACATATATGGGCATGGCCCCATGAGGTCTATAGCCTTTTAAGTGTATAGTTTAGTTGGTTTACTCTCCCTATCTCTGTATTTTTCTCCATTCCACTGGAACTGTTCTCATTACTAGACATCTGCACATGGATGGAAACAGGAATATTGACATGTCTAAGAAAAGCTGGAGGAGGACTGAAATGGAGCCAAGCAAATAAAGAGTTTTTGTGACAAGACTAGCCTTTTTGGTAGTGCTTTATGAAATCAAGATTTTATGAACTTGGAATCACTCTTAGGTATATCTTTTAGTCCTACAGGTGCTCATATAATTGCTCGGTTTTCGAAAAAACTTCTTGATGAAGATATTTCTATTTTTTCCGGATCGGAAATGTTGCCTGTGGTTAAAGGAGCTTTTATTTCTGTGTGTCGTCAAATATATAGTACATGTGAAGGCTTGCAGGTGTTGATTCCTTATAATTTGCATGAATCTGTAGCAAAGGCATGGAAAAAGGTATGTATTTTCAAGCATCCTTTTTCCTCCCTACAAATCTTTATTTCAAATGTAGGTACCATTGTAGTTTTGTGTTATGGATAAAATAGTTTATTGGAGCAAATAGGACTTCTTCAGCATCACAGTACTCTATGGGACATAATGCTTCTTCATTTGGCACAGGATGACTTCAATACCTCCTCTCACAGTGGGACAAATTCCTAAGACTTAACAAAGTCTTTTCTTCTGGTAGGAGAGGCTTTAGGTAAATTTTCCTTGCATAAACTAACACCCCCCCCCTTTGGAAATTATTTTTGAGCAAATTTTAGGGACAGCTGGGTTTTTATTATGGATATTGGAGATCATAATGTAGCCAATAGCTGTGTATAGTATATATCAGTGGACTACTAAGTCTTTTTCACACATTTTATATGGTTGACTTGTGAAATTCTTTACATATTAATAACCAAATAATTTAAATTTTGGAGATAATTTTGATTTTAATTACATTAAGGATAAAAAATGCACTGTAAGAGATCTTATGAATAGTGCTATCAGTTAGAAAAAGAATAATGTAAATAACTTGTTATTTTTTAGACAAGTTTCCTATTGGAAAGAATTCCTACCCCAGTAGAGGGTTCTGATTCTGTTTCTTCAGCAAGCCAGGAATCTCAAAACATGTAAGTACAATTGATTAGTCATCTATTTATGATATTTGCTGAAATAATTTTAAAACCATTGAAATGTAATAGAATAATACAGCAAAAATGTTTCACAGGAAGGTAAATGAATACATACAGATTCAAGGAAAATTATAGTCTAGAAGAACTTTAGGGGTCATATGGTACCTATAACCTTTGAAAAAATTTAGCAATATTTATTATACCTGCTTCATCCTGTATTTACATTTTGAATTAGGAAACCTGACCTATTGTAGTGTTTCCAGAAAATTTGGAGAATTATCAAGTACTAAAATTGGAAAGTTAACTGGAGAGTTCAGCAGAAATAAGATGTCTTCAAGTGTCAGTGAAGTACATTTATATTTAAAATATGATTTTTTCAAAATGTAGTCGGAGTACATTTTAGTAATAGGTTTTGGCATTGAAAGTTATTTAAATCAGTATTAATATCAAATGTTAATTTAGATGTCTCCATGTTTTTTTACAAATATCAATAGGATATGGAGTCAGATTAATGGGGAAAATATATGTATTAATATTTTAAACTAAGGTCTGGTGACATATGATACTGGATTCTGTTCTTATTGTATATTTGAATGTTGGTATAGTCTAAAAAGATAACAATTAGGGAAAACTTTAAGGTTATTTGTTAAAGAAATGTTGAAGTTCAATTTTCTTATTTTCTGGTTAGGTACAGTTTATAAAAAACAATTAAAAAGCCTACTGCATTGCCTTAACAGGGTAATGGTTCGACAAATAGTTAATTTTCTAAAGGTTTGCTATAATTTTTTTCTATTTCTACAATTCATTTTGAAGTAATTTTTAGATTTTTTTTCTTTGAAATCTTCCATTATGGTTTGTTATTATACTTTTTCAATTTTATTCATCCATTTATTTTCCACTCATTTATTCAGTTATTTATTGTACTAAGTGCTCTGCCGACTGAGGATACTCACAGACCATAGCATATTGTATAGTGTAGAATACAAATAAGTAAATACACCTTGGCAATATAGTATGCTAAATTTATGTGATATAGTTTATAGAGAGTCCGTTAGGAGCCAACTTGTGTGAAAGTCCTTTCCAGAAATTATTGTCAAACTTAGTTATAAAGAATACATGGATATTAATTGTATAAAAAAGGGGGGGATATTATTATATGTGGAAGAAATAGTGTGATCTATAGGCTAGAAGTGAGAGATTGTGATTAATGTATTTAACGTATTTTGCTGTCAGTATTATTTTTAGCTTGAGAGAGCTGATAAATTTATATCCCGCTCATTCCCTCCCAGACCAGTTAACAGAAATAAAAGGCCAAACAAATCAAAACACTGAATAACATAGCCTTCCTAATATTGATCTCAAGAATTTGACAGATTTAATCCAGTCACAATTACCAATGTACAGCCGTAGGCTTCTCTCAGAGGCATAATTTACCATCATATAACGTAACTACATGGTATATCAGAGCAGAATGTGTGCTCCCTGCAGGTAGCTGGATCATAAAAAGGAAGTGAACTGAAGGAGAAGCATTGCTTAGTCAAGCATGCTTAGGACATTCTGCAAATCTCCCTGGTTTCTTCTTCCATGGCAAGGGAAGAGTAGGTGATTAGATGGAGAGGTAAACAGTGTTAACTGGGGAATGTGCTCCACATGGAAACTTAATGGTAGGGGAAAGGAGATTTCCCAACATCTGATATTAATGTCTTAGAAAAACAAAAGGTTTAATAAAGTTTTTGATAGAATAAAACTATTTTTATTTTTGTCACCAAAATTAAAATTACCTTGTAGAAAGAGTTGAGTATCTTTTGTTTTTTTGCTTTAATTGAAATAGTTGGTATGAGATAAGCATTATTTGTTTCTTGACTGTTTGGTAAAACTTGAGTGTAAAATGATCTGGAACAGTTAACTACACTAGCTTCATGCCAGGACGTAGCAGACACCTGACAACTATTTGCTAAATGCATGAATGAATGAGATTTCTCTTAACCCAAGACCCTAGTTTCTAAGCAGCACCTATAGTAAGATTAAGGTTGAGATGATAGAGGTAAAATTGAGTAAACTGCTAGAATTAATTAATGAATATTTTCATGCCTCTGACAAACTAATGTTAGCTATTTTGATCTTATATTTTCAGTTAATGTATTTTGGAAGTTGCGCTTTTGTCCTTCTATTTATAGGTGCTTACAAAGCTACAGAAAAGATAGAAGCTGTTGTGTAGCTATCATAGGGGATTGATGTCCTTTAAATCTAGACATTGATTCAAAAACCCAAATTTCTACAATGCTGTTTTGGTTGATATCAGTGACTGCAAGCTATGTGAGACCATCAGTAGAGTGACCATACAGAAGAATGTAATCACAGAGCAAAATAGAAGATGCCAAGCCTACCCCAACCAAATTATCAAGGGGCCTCTGGTAAAACTGAAGGGTAAAGTAACAGAGGGAATCAAACTCAGCCTTTGATCCCAAAGAAAGTAGGCACTATAAACTTAATTTTCACGAGAGTGTTTAACCTACTACGATATCTGGCCACTCAGGGAATGGTGTTCTTATAAGCTACCAAAGAAGTGTGATTCTTGCCATTGCCTCTCTCCTAAAGGAACAGAGCAATAAATGGAATTCAATGACTTGGATTTTCCTTCCCTTTTAAAAAATTCAGAGTATCTTTACTATAATGCGAAGGAGAATTAAACAGTAGCAGAAAAGATATGTTAAAACATGTCAACTCTTTTATTTTCCAGAATTATGTATACTTTTTCGTATCACATAGTGATATAACTTGTGAGTTTTTTGCCTGTGTTTTCTTTTATTTGGAAGGAGTCATGTAGACTTTTTTTTGTTTTTGTTTTGTTTTGTTTTTGAAAGTGTAGACTTCTTTTGGTTTGTTTTTGTTTTTTTTCTTTTGCCCGGGCTAGAGTGCAGTGGCATCAGCCTAGCTCACAGCAACCTCAGACTCCTGGGCTCAAGCAATCCTTTTGCCTCAGCCTCCGAAGTAGCTGGGACTAC